ATTCAATTCTATCAGAAGTCGGTGATTTTCAAAGTCTTTAGTAACAAATGCAGAAACTGCCACTAATGTCTGCCAAACATTAGCAGAACAGAACAACAAACCGTGTATGCTAATATAAAAAGGATCATAGAGTGTCAAATAACGTGCTCTCCTTATATGTATATCGTCAGTTAGTAAATACAAGGATATATACTTCCGTATAGATCCTGTATATCATAAAAACAAAATATGTGTGTTCTTTTACCTGACAAAACACTAAAACAAATATTAGAAGTATCTAGACACAAATATTTTTCAAATGCAAAGAATACATATAGTTTTATTATTTTCAGCTCAGCTTAGAAAATAAGGTAACCTACAAAACGGTTGCGAGATTCTTTTTCGATCGGTTTATTCTTTTTATTTAATGGATTTGTACCAAGTCGCCAAAAGTTATAATTAAATGTCCCATCACATTTGTTATTGCTACGAAAATTAATACGATAAGTGTTCATTGCAATTGAACCATTAGCACTTGCTCCTGTTGGATAAATATAAACAATAGCTCGTGCCGTAGCAACTTTATTATTCTGACATTCCCATTTACCCACAGTATCACCATATGTCGCATTTGATACTATTCCACTGCCTCCTCCCTGAATAGAATCAAAAGCCACTAACGTTCCATCCATTGTACAAATTTATTAATTCATAAAACTTATCAGGTCCACTTCCTACAGTTATTTGATAAAGACCAGAACGTCGAGAATAACAATTAGCATTAGTCTGATAAATAATTAAAGACAACAGTAACAACGTAGTCACGAAAAACATAATTTTGTCAAACGTTTAATGACTGTAAAAGAAAAGAAAAATTAGTTCAACTATAGAAACACCTTTGTCCTACAAAAATTCACTATCTGTTTTCCGAATGGTCAAAACATAGCAAGAAACATAAGCTTAACTGTACTGCTTCTCTACTGGTGTTTCTCGCAAGGTGAATTGAGATGAACCAGCCGACACTGAAGCGTTCGAGCTTAACAGTCCTTAACTCTCCCTAAAAACAATTAAGAGAATCAGACTTCGAGTGAGCTGAGGGGCAGAGCTTGAATGGAATGTGGCATGCTACAAGATATGTTTGATTGTTCTTTCTGAAATGGCCGTCCCATTTATAATCTCGGCTACAAGCGTGTCTGATAAAAGTATGAATAATCCGAGATGATATCAATATAGAATCAAGACCATATATGCCAAGAAAAATTTGATTATACTTGATCACGTAAATTCTACATCAGAAAAATCCTCATAAATTTTCTTTGTAGTACAACACATACCCTAGAAAATATTGTGATTATGTCATTATTTCTCTATTCATACGCTGTATCATCATCAATGTACTCAATACCATTAGCTTGAAGGATGTATTTTATATATATTACAAGGCTTTATGATCGAATTGTTTGCGTTTTTGTAATATTGGTTACATTTGCTATATTCCTTAACAAGCTAACAGAAACAGATAGATCGTATTTGTACTTTATTGACATGTGCTCTATTAAGCAACAACTTTGATGAAGAAAGATAATTGTGTTACATACCAAAGCTTTATATTTGTCGAAAACATAATTATATTTAAAAGCCCTTTCTGTTGAGTAAGATATAACCTTCTACTAGAAAGAGAAACCTGTTTTCATAAGATGACTGATGTTATAGTCAAATGGACTATTAATAAGTTAAAACAACTTTTCTGTATGGAAAAATGTCTCGGTCCATCTTTCTTTAACGTGCGCAGAAATAACCACCGGTATATTAGTTTACATAATGAAAAAGAATTCTATATCAAGAATCCTTCTCTATATTCACCAAAATCAATATAGATGCATCTAACTGTCACAATGATAATAAAACTGTATTATGTATGTGTTATTTTCATACAAGCGTTTTCCTTTCATACAAATAATACTATATATTCGAATTTCATG